AATGTAGCTCTAGAAGCTGGAAAAGAAAGGGAAATAAATTTTCCCCTGGAATCTCCACAGGGAATGTGGTCTGCCAACACCTTGACTTTAACCCAATGACTCTAACATTGGACTTCTGGACTCCAAACTGTAAGAGAATAAATTTGTCTTGTGTTAAACCACAGTTTGTGGCAATTTGTTACAGCAGCCATATAAAGTGAATACAAGAGTCAAGACTCATATTTTCTCTTTCTACACCAAGAAGAGTCTGTTTAGTTGATACAAAATAGAAGCAGTATCCTGTGCTCAGACCTAGACACCTGGGAATACTTATTCCTTATTCAAAGCCACCCAGTAAATTAGCATATGCACCAGCAATAGCATGCAGTCCTACAAACATTCAAATAAATATGGATCTGTCCAGCAATTCTGCTACTGGATATATATCCAAAGGAATGGAAATCATCATGTCAAGGAGATACGTGCACTCCCACGTTTATCACAGCTCTATTTACAGTAGTCGGGCTATGGAACCAACCTAAATGTCCATTGATGGATGCCTGGATAAGGAAAATATGGTATATACACAATGAAATACTACTCAGCCATAAGAAAGAATGAAATTCTACCATTCGCAGCAACATGGATGAGCCTGGAGAACATTATGTTAAGTCAAACAACACAGGCACAGAAAGATATATTGCCTGTCCTCACTCATAAGTGGGAGCTGAATTAATAAATAAAGAAATAAACAATAAAGAGAGAGAGAGAGAGAAACAGCAATTATAACAATACATTGACCTTTTAGAAGGAGAGAACAGAACTGTGGTTACTAGAAGTGGAAAGGGGGAGGGGAAGGGGAATTAATGAGATATTAATGACAAATTGGTTAATGGACACAAAGAATGATTATGTATTGTAATGATGAATAAGCTAACTATACTGATTTGACCATCACACATTGTACACAACTATTGATAGTCAACTTTGTACCCACAAATGTGTATAATCAATTATGCTTCAATACAAAATAAATTTAAAGTATAATAAAAGCAGAGATTCTGAAAAAGAAATAAATAAATACAGATTGCTAGTCAGTCTTTTTCTCTTGAATGTCTCCTCCAAAATGGCCACATGCATTCAGGAGAATTTAAATTTTTTCCACAGTTTCCTGAGAGCGTAAATCAGTGTTGTCCAACTGGACTTTGCTGTTCTCCTGTCTTGTGACAAATAGGTCAAAACAGTTGCTCCAGTGAGATTTAGGAGATGGAGAGAAGGAACAAATGAGAGTGCTCGGCAACCTCAAAAAGCTCTTTTGTAGCAAGGGAATCAGGAAGCAGTGGAAAGTGTGTGTGCTGTTAACAGTCCATGGCAGAGTAAGGATTCCCACTCCCCCATAGCAGCAGTTTGCTGTTGGTTGGCCACTGCCTTGCCACACCAGGCAATCAAAGTGTGTCAACCCAAATTCCAACCCTCTGGGAACCCAAGCAGGGCTTCCGGTGATAATCCAAACAGTGAAAAAGTGATATCATTCCTGGCATTATCTAGAAAGCCCCTATGGCTCAAGAGCTCGTACCGTAATTAAACTGGCTGTTGGGCTTCTCACAGTTGATGATGTTGAAACGGTAAGGAATGACGGCCTTCATACCGCTCACCTTAAAGTAGAACCACTGCTGGTGCTGGGCGCTGTTCACGTCAGCATTGACCAGCAAGTCATACTCAAACCTGCAAAGTCAGACGCAAGGTTGGAGGTTATCTGGAAAGACTTTAAAGTAACTTCCGACACTGAGAATCTTCAGGTTCTGAGAGTCTCAGGTTCTGGATTATAAGTCTAAGACCCGGTATCTCAGTTGGATGGTAACTTATAGTTATCATCCTTATCTCACAATATTGGGCACAGGATTGGGGAATTCCTGGGGGTTGAGGGGGTTCTCAGCATTAGAAGAGTGAGTTACATAAGTACAGCCTGTCTCTTTATTAAACTATAATGAAGTTTCTATCCAGCTAGAAAAATGCAAGTGTGCTATATCCCGGAGAAAATTCAGTCATATCTGGTTTGGATATGCCATCATTATTTGACGCTAGACATTATTTTGAGCCTCAGTTTCCTCATATGGAAAATGGAAATGGTGTCTGAACTTGTAATGCTGTTTGTAAAAATTAAATGTTATACCAGATGCAAACCACCTAGCAGAGCAGCAGATATGAACAAGGCTAGCAACACAGGGGTTCTTTCATTTTGATTGAGATATAAGTTATATGGACTGAAGTGCACAAATATTAAGTATACAGCTCAATAAATTTGTTTACATCTGGATGCACATGTGTGACCACTACCCAGACAGAGGAC